CGGCGCCGGGAGGGGCCGCCGAGGGTCCCCGGGGAGCCCGCGCTGGTTTCCCAGATGCCCGCCCGGCCCCCACCGCTGGGCTGGCGTCGGGGCGGGGGACAGAGGGGCCGGCGAGTGCCACTCAGAGTTTCCAGCGACATCTCCAGCATGTGGGAAGGGAGCCGCTGCTCGCCGGAGCCAGGATGGAGGGCAGGAATCAGGAATGATTAACGAACGCGGGTCGAGCCAGCCACTGATACGGAGCCGGCAGCCTCGGCGAGGCCGGAGACGGGACCGAGATGCAGACAGACTGGGGCCGAGATAAGGGCGCCCCACGGGCAGCGTTGCCCAGTGGGCTGAGTTCAGGCCCCGCCGCCTCCCTGCCACCTTGGGGAGAATGTGTGCTTGCGTAAGCGCGCCCGGACGTGTGCAAACAAACACGCGCGCAGATGCACGGGCCGGCGGCTGACGCTCGCACACGTGCAAGCCCCGCCGAGGGCAGCCCTGGCAGGAAACCGGCCCTCTGGGCGGGCCGCGCCGCCGCGGAGGATAAGGTGGGGCTCCTTTGGCAGGGATGGGGTTCGTGGGGTCTCGGTGTTCTCACACACCGTTTTTGTTTTGATCTCGCTGCTTTTCCGCTGTTCCCGCGGCTCGGACACTAGTCCCGAGAGCCTGCGCCCTTGGGCTTCCGACCCCCCACCCCCACCCGCCCTCCTTCCCCTCCCCACCACCAAGCCGCGGGGGGCGGAGGGGGTGGGGGCGGAGGGGCGGGTGGAGAGCGTGCTCTCGCAGTGTTGGCTGCAAATGGAAAAAACGCTCTGGAGTTCTGAGCCCTTGGCTTGGCTCTGGGACCCCAAGGCCCAAACTAAACAAACAGTAGATAGTTACTGAGCAATTTCAGACCCATTTTGGGAGTGATCAATTATGAATTATGAAAACATGTATTGCATACCTACCGAGCTTAAGAAGGGTACCCTGGGGCCACTGCACACGAGTGTTTTCCCAGGGCACAACTCCAGAGTTGAAAGGGGAATGCAGAAAAGATGAAACCGTTTAAGACCCTACCACGGTTGATGCTAGTAGCTTTATCTCCTCAATTAGTTCAAAGAGCTATTCCGGTTGTGGTGAACCGCGTGGGAAAGGCAGGAGGAGGAAATATTTGGATGGAGGGGGCCTGGGAGAGCACCCGGCTGGCTGCGGGCCTGTGGGGCCCGCGGTGTGGAAGTGGGGCCATGGCCGCATACTTGGAAGCAGATCCAAGGTCTCCAGGGAGGAGCTTTTAAATGATTAGGGAAGGTCCGTGGCTGCCAATTGTGGTGCAATTTTGTAGGGGCCAGTGATTGCTCTGGGCACTTTTAAGGTTCCTTCCAAGAACGTGAATTTCTCCAGGAAAGCGACAGGGGTGGGGAGGCAGTCCAGGCCCACAGAGAAGGCTGCAGAAAGGAGTGTCTGAGCTCCCGCACTCCAGGCAGTGGGGCGGTTTCCCTCCCCAAAGCTTTCCCCCAAAACCTGAAGGTACAAGCCTCGCCCCTCCCCCAGAGACAAAACATGTGCCCATTTACTTTGGCACCAGTTTTTCCCACCTGGCAGGATCCTCATGACTAAGAAAGGCCACATCTCTCTCATTGTCTTCCTTGTTATCCAGAGATGATGAAGCAGAAGATCTTCCTCCAGGAATCTTGGTCATACCCTCTCACCAGCAGCAAGCTTCTTTTATTCACTAAGGCTCTGACCTGGACTCCAAGATAAATATTTAATGTAGAGGGTGCAGCTGAGCTGACACAAGTCCCAACTTCCTGTTCCTCACAAAGGGAGGTGGCAGGCATGGGCAAGGAGCTGGGGACGGCTACCAGTTTCATCTCTATGGGAATAGGAAATCCAGACCACAGCTGGGTAGGGGGGCAGGGTAGGCAGGGTAGTGTGGGGAGCCTCTCCCCTTAGCAACTTTGACTTCTGCCTGTCCACGTAGGCCCCGGCCCTCCTGCACTTACCACTGGGGCCCGAAACTGCTCTGTCTCACACTGGTTGGGCTTGCTCTCCCTCCCAGAGTTCTAGGCTATGATCTTGGACCATGGAGGAACTCAAACAGGATAATTCCATCGTGTTCCATGGTGCCCGGCAGGAGAGGATGAGAGATTGGTGGAGTAGAGCTAAGGGATTTACCGGCTCTTCCTTTTCTGCCCATATTTAGGGAGAAGAATCTCTCCTCTTTAGAAAGTAGGAGATTACAGGGTGGAAAGTCCAGAGATGCAGCCAAGAACCAGGTGTCTGATTTCTAAACTCCTCCCTCCAGCCTCGGCTCAGCTTACTCCTGGCCCAC